TATTTTATGGAAGAATGTGCGGTTGAAAATGATAATTGATTTACTGTAGAATTTGAGAATCTATCACAAACACCCCCTAAATATAATATCAAAAAATTGTGAATTCAAGTATAAAATTATTTTTTTTTTAAAAAAAAAAAAAAAAAAAATATTGGGATCCCGACTGGAATTTACCCATAAATTCTATAAGTGAGGTAAGTCGTAAAAAATTCAACAAATTAAGAGGAGAAGAAAAAAGTGGGTAGCAATTGCCCAGGAGACCAAACGGACAACAGAGAATGCATGGCTGAGGTTGCGTCTCAATCCACTGTAGGCAATCCATTTCTGACTGTTGGATCTCACTACTCTTAATTTCTAGATCATTTTCTAATTCCATTCATCAAGGAAAATTAGAGAATAAAACATTGTTTAAAAGGCTCCATATAGTCACACTTTCGTTTTTTACACCTATGTTCACTTGAAAATCAATCTTTGTTTTTAATTTTGTTCTAGTATACTACAATTAATATTGGTTTTCCAAATTTCAAGAAAGTTAAAAGTTTTTGAAAATTAATTTCTAAAATAGCCATAAACTTTAGGGTCCTGTGGGATTAGTCGAGGTGCGCGCAAACTGGCCTAGACATCCACGATTATTAAAAAAAAAAAAAAAACTTTCGAAACGACTTCTAGAGAAGTAGCCAGAACTTTCATAAAATTAATCAAACAGGTTCAAAAACGACTTTTGAATCTCAAAAGCTCCTTTTAACATCTCAATAATTCTACCAAACGGGCCTATAGAGTAGAGGAACGAACAATTTAACATATGCAATACACAAAATAAAAAATGTTGAAAGATATCTCCAACTAAAATGTCAGCCTAATTACTGACCAACTCCAATTTATGCTTGTGTCAAATGCTTTGTTGCCCCCAAAATTAAGGCACCATAGGCGAAAAGAGCAAAACTTCTACTCACATGAAATTAGAAATCAGTAGAGGCCCAAGAACTTCCACCAAAATGTCCCGACAACTCCCCAGATTACTGCATTAATCACGGCCATTATGAATCCAAACTTGAAGATATCCGGGAGATCTACATAACCAGCTGTTTCCAAAAGAGCAATGGCGCAAGTCAGTCAAATTTTTCAATATAAAAAGAAAATGAAAAGAAGAAACGATGAGAAACAAAGACTTTGCGACAAGAATACAACATAAAGGGACAGGTTATAAAGAATATAACAGGAGCAGAAGAAATGTGGGAACAAGAATTTGTTGTACCTCCAAAGTACACGGCAGCTTGACCACTGCTGTAATGCGTCAAAGCGCCAAATAGGTTGGTATTATAAGCAAGAGCCAATGCTGCCAATACACCGGGAACTCCAGATGCCAAGTTCATTGCAAGAAAGGCAGAGTACAATGCTCCCACGTGGCCTGTTTGGCTTGCAAATAAGTAGTGGATCAAAAAGTAGGCGGCCTGAAGAACAACAAATGCAGCTGGCCAGCTCAATGATAACGACTGAAGGGATTTGGCTACGCAACCAGACATCCACCTCACAATGCCAAGATTCGTCAACTGCCCTGCCATTCCCACTAGAACTGCAAACCAAGCCAAAGTATCCCATGCTGATTTTTCACTTAAACAGTCGTCCCAATCAAGCACTCCCAACAACAAGAGTATTGACAAGCCGAGCATGGCAGCAACAACACTTGCAATACCAATGGCATCTCTGTTTACACATTATCAGCATATCAAATTTGAATGCTTCTTACATAATGTTAACCATTTTAAAGTGGTAAAAAACTAAAATATATGAATAGAAACATGTGTACATAATTATATAATACTGTCCGTATGGCCAGAACTGAATAAGATCATTAATATTACTAACTCCAAATGCAGATATGATATGTATATAGCTCTACTCTTATCTTACCGTCGTTCATTCACCTACTTTGTCAAATAAACAAATGTTTATCAGTGCTTATTGTAGAAAAATGAAACAAAAAAATCATCAGCAATTCATTTTAAATGGATTTTAGCAAGAACCAAAGTATGAAAGGGTACCTACCCAAAAACCCACAAAGAAACTGCAAGAAGCATTGTACCAATCATCACCCATTCATTTCTTGTGACAGGGCCCATAAGGTCCAGTTTCTTTGCAGCCATAGCAGGGGCCTCTGGTGTATCTTTCGTTTCAGGGGGATAAAGTTTGTACAAGATGTATGGAGTAGCTATAAGACAAGCAAAAGCAGGTAAACTAGCAGCCTTGAACCAAGAAACCCATGGGCTCGTAATTACTACCCCAAGTTCCTCAGCCAGCTTTAGGCACAGAAGGTTTTGAGCTGCTGCAGTTAGGAAAAGAGCACTAGAGTTACCAGCGGACTGTCAAGACGTCAAAAGAGCAACACGTGAGTGAAAGAAGAACAAGATTTGTCCGAAAGTAATATCAAATTCTGTAATAGAAAGAACTCAATTTTGGAAACGACTAATTACTTTCAATAGAATCAAAATGCATTCTAACACAATTATTAACTACATCTCCAAGGAGAATACAATAGAACGTATCAAAATATCACTCAATAAACTATAATCACAACAAGGCATAAGCAACGACAGACGTAGTATACCTGAAAACCCATCTCATAGCACACAGAAATGTACAATTACTGGTACAACCCGAGATCAATATGTAATGTACTATAATGTACTTCAAAATTGTACACTTAATTTTGAAAACTATAATGGTACATTATACTATATTCACGAATTGAAGTCAAAAGGATAACATAAAAGAAAAACACACAAATTTAAGAACAAACCTGAAATTGAGATTGTACTAAATAAGATCCAAGCTTCTTCTTTGATGGTTCCCCGGGATTACTCCCGGCAGAGAGTGACAATGACTTAATAATTGGCAAGAAAACCCCTCCGGCCCTGGCAGTGGTACTCGGCATCGCCGGTGCAATCAACGCCTCACTCAAAGTCAACCCGTATGACAATCCCAGCGTACTCTTTCCCAACAATTTCACAAAATACGTTGCTATCCGATCACCAAGACCAGTTTTCACGAACCCACGGGCGAAGAAGAAAGATATTACAATCAGCCAGATGACCTCATTGGTGAAGGCGCTGAAGGCAGTAGAAAAGGTAAGGGTTTTGGTTATAACTGAAGTGGTAAGGCCCAGAAAAGCCCAGGCGCCAACAGGGAGCGGGCTAAGAACAAGGCCTGCGATGGTGGAGAGGAAAATGGAGAGCAATTGCCACGCTTGTGGGGAGACCTCAGGGGGTTTAGGGACGACGAATCGAACTATAAGACCTATGGAAAGGGAGAGGATTAAAGGAATGATTTTTGCGCCTTGTGGTGGGGGATTCTGGGATTTTGAATCAACGGCTACTGGCGTATTTTCGGCAGATGAGGAGCTGCAGGGACTGAATTTCTGGGGATTTTGAATCGAGAATTTTATGGGATTAAAGAGATTGAATTTTTGGGTAGTGGAGAGTGTAGTAGCGTGGCTCTTGAGGGAGGAGATGGGGCGGAGATTGGTGGCTGAAGGACGGTGGCGGAGGTGGGGGAAGGAGCGACGGCAGAAGTCGGCCGTGGTGGATGGAGAATTCAGTGCCATACTCTCCATAATTGAACTCAAGATAGAATTCAGATCAAGTTTGCATCTGTGTAAGTGTGAGAAAGATGGGCTCTTTTGATTTTGGAGAGGCGGAAACTACAAAGACCACAGATTGGAATGTGCATGTTTTCCGTTTGTTCTGTTTCGACTTTGTAAATTGCACGCGTTGTCCCCAAACTTTGAAATAATTAGGAAAAGCATCCCTAATCTTTTCCTTTTTACTTGTCAACTTCCTCAAACTTTCGTTTTCAGTGCAAGTTCATTCCTTCACAGTCGTTAATAAAATCATTAAAGATGACACATCGTTAGCGAAAAATCTATGGACTTATTTGAGCCCCATTCTTTTGCCAAAATGAATTTTTTAAATAGTGATTTGATAGAGAATGTTTGATTAAAAAATAATAAAAAGTTTTGGGTTTACATATAATATTATTTTATTGAAAAATGTGTGGTTAAAAATAAATTTTAAAAAATTATATTTTTTGTTTAACGGCTTAAATTATATTAAACAGTACAAGAAATTATTGTCCACATTACCAAAATGTTTATTAAGC